TCTGATCAACTGCTCTCACGTCAGTCCGCATGTCCATCATTCTTCACTCAACTCGTGGTAATCATATGTGCCGCTACAACCTCCCCCCGCTTCGGATTCGGTAGTGTCGCGCACATCGTCGTAAGCGGGCGATATGCACCTCTCATCCGTGGACAAGAAGCACTCTTTCGGTGTATTCAGAGAATTGGCATTAATTTTAGCAGACAAGAGTCATGTCATGTTTGAGGAGCCACCGTTCATGGGGGGGGGGGAAGAGAGGGCAGAAGAGAGAAGAGAGTGGGTTCGTGGTGACATGAACATGTGTTAAGGTGGAGACTATCATGAAGTTAGCGGAGGAGAAGCTGAACGAGCTAGCGGAGGAGAGAGGCTTCCTGGACCGGCACGGGATCAAAGTGCAGGTAAGTCTGCGACGTTGTGCAAGCTCCTAGCTCAGCAGACTCTCAGATCCTTGGGGACCTGGACGTCCTCCCTCAGCACGTGAAGGCGGCAGCCTGTCGGGCGATGAAGGTCAGCGAACATCACGAGCAGGCTGTTCTCAACATCTGCATCGCCTACACGTCCCGTGAGGTACACAAGGAGGAAGAGGAGGAGGAGGAGGATGGGGGTAGGAAGATGAGGGTGGAAGAGGGATGCAGCGCTAGTGGCTGTGTAGGAGAAGGAGGAAGAAGAAAACATGGAAGAACCAGTTCGGGTGGCTGTGGAGGACGAGGACGAGGACGAGGACGAGGTCGAGGACGAGGACGAGGAAACAGGAGGGATGCTTTGGTAGTGGCTGTGGAGGTTTAGGGGTGGTGGTGTTCATCGTGGTTCGGAGGAGTTCCAACCTGCTGCCATGGCAGGAGATGCTGCGGGCAGTTGCCAACATGGCAGAGGCTGTTGAGGATGGGACGTTGAAACCTGATGACGTCACGGACGAGTTGTTCTCTGAATCTCTCTACACCCGCCCTGTCTCACAGGTCCTCATGCCCTTGCTTCTCCTCTTGCTGCTCCTGCTCTTTCTGCAATCCCCTCCTGCTCCTGCTCCTGCTCCTGCTCCTGCTCCTGCTCCTGCTCCTGCTCCTGCTCCTGCTCCTGCTCCTGCTCCTGCTCTCTCCCTCTCCCTCTCCCTCTCCCTCTCCCTCTCCCTCCCGCTCCCCTGCTGACTTGGTATGATTTCCCAGGTCGATCTGCTGGTCAGAACCTCAGGAGAGACGAGGCTCAGCGACTTTCTGCTCTGGCAATCCGCCTGTGCCTGCGTTCAGTTCCAACCGGTCTTGTGGCCAGGTCTCCTCCTCCATTCTCCCTCTCCCCTCATGTCCTCCTCCCTCCTCCCTCCTCCTTCCTCCCTTTCTCCCTCCTCCCTCCTCCCTCCTCCCTCCCTCCTCCCTCCCTCCCTCCTCCCTCCTCCCTCCCTCCTCCCTCCCTCCTTCTCCCTTCTCCCTCCTACCTCCTTGTCCTTCTGATCTGCTCCCCCTTTTCTTCTTCATTTCTCTCTCAATCTCCTTGTATCCTTCCATAATCTTTAGCCTCCACCCGTTTCCATGATCATCCATCCTCCCATCCATCCTCCCCCCTCCCCTTCTTCCCCCCTTCCTGCTCTTTTCGTTATTCCTTCCTGATTCTTGTCCTCTAGACTTCTCCCTCTGGCATCTCGCCTCTGCCATCCTCCAATACCAGCGCTCCTTCTCCGACCTTCAAGCTACTCGCCGCCGCTCCGAGCTTAACGGAAGGGAGCAGGAGGTACTCGCTCTACATCCTCCTCCTCTTCCTCCTCCTCCTCCTCCTGAACGTCTCCTTGTCTCCTCCTCCTCCTCCTCCTCCTCCCCTTGGCTCTTTCTGTCCTTTCTCTTCTCTCTGCTAAGGAGCACACCAGGAGGACAGGAGCGTCTCAGTTCGGAAAGCAGAGTACTTGAAAAGACTGGAGGACCGAAGGAAATCCTTCATCCTCAGGTTCCTTGCGATACCTCCCTTGTCGTCACT